TCCTCTTCCTCTTCCTCCTCCTCTTCCTCTTCCTCTTCCTCTTCCTCTTCCTCTTCCTCTCTCCTTAATTTTGTCAAATGATTAACAAATTAAGGATTCTTTTTCTTCTCTTCTCTCCCTTTTTTCTTTTTCTCATGAAATTTGATACATTACTTTTCCACAGACTGAAATAGCAAAATTTGTTACGTTTTATCAATCAAGGAAATTAGCGTGAAAATAAGGTAAACAAACAAATAAAATAAGTATTACTATAATATTTGTACGACAAATAAGCAACAAGTCAATTTATAATAATAATTTTATAATATGCTTATTTGTAACCGCTTTAATTATCTCATTTGTTGAAAGATACTTTTGTTTTACTTTTTGATTGAATTTTAAAAGCAACGAAATAAAAAAAGGAAAGAAATCGGAAGAAAAGGAAATATTTTCTCTATACATTACTTCTAGAAAAGTCTAACATTTCTCGAGGATCCGTTGTAAATAACATATACAAAAGTATGCGTTGAAGCGTTTGCTTTTTTCCTCCTTCATTTCAAAGGAAAGAATGAAATGAAAGTTTCATATAATTGGTGTGCCGCCCAATTCTGTCATTTCAATTCCTCCCATTTACTAATTCATATCGGAAATTAAACTTAAAATAAATCTATTTGATCGATTTTGTTCCTTATTGTTGTTAATCGTTTCGTTTTACGAATTCATTCTAATGCTTTTAATTATTTCATTCGATCCATTTCAAATGTCATTTTCACGACCGATTTATGGTGAGCAGTCCGTTTTCAACCCCCTTTTGAATTATTTCTTTTTCAACAGCAATCAATATTACTATCCCTCACAGCTATGTTTATTTTGTTCTGATATTATAATATTTCATAAAATTATTGATAGTATAAATGATAACGATTGTATTTCGCTGACTAATAGTTGATGGATCATTTATTAATCTTTGCTCTTTTCAAAATTTAATTTCGTCACTTTACGATGTATATATACAATGTATATGTGGATATGTGTGTACGCCTGTACGGGTGTGTGCATGTGTGTATGTGTGTGTATGACATATATCTTCCGAAATGTTGCACGTATCATATGAAAAGATTGCTTTTCCAGAAACTTGAAAAAAGCCGCCCTAAGATAACACTTTTACGTGGTATACGAGTTTGACGTCATATAACTCATGTTACTTATTATTCTTACTATCAATCATTCATTCAGGTTATAAAGCCACACATACACGTACATATAAAGTGCCTATTACCAGAAAACATTATACGCTACTTACCTCTATGTGTATATATAATATTAATCATCATTATAGTCATTATCACTATCTCATGATTTGCCTATCAAAAATCGTAAGTCTGTAAGACAGTTGTAAAAATGTAATATGTTTGTTTGCATATTGTTATATCCGTTGCCATTATCATTAATGATATCAACATCAGTATTGTTATCATTTTCCCGATCACGTCATCTATTCGCATTCATGAGAATACTTCTATATTTGTTCCATTTTGCTGTAAGCATTATAAGCATTGTCATATCACTTACTGATTAAAATCATTTCTGACTCTATCCTATTACTAATTTGAATATTAATAAATGTTTGATCTTTAATTTGAAATTCGTTTTAACCGTCTTGTCCCATTACTTTCCTTTTTTTGATAAGCATCAAATGCAGGAAATTAAATCCTTCGATTAAGTGACAGAGAAAGGAGCTACTGGAAGTTTTCCCTTCCCTTCTGGAATATTCCCCGGAACTTCTCCCGCCCTTTCTCCTTTCCTCTCTCTTCCCTTTTCTCCGCAACCAACATACCACCCATCAAATAGTTCTAATCGATCGTGTAGAATGCCGTTGCTTGCTTTATGCGTCAGCAAGCATTAGCCGCACTTTCTATCTCTCTGCACACATACACATACACACACATACACACACACGTACACACACATACATATACACGCACACACACACATACACACACACATACACACACATACAAACACACACACATACATAACACACACTGTACAAATATGTGTACGTGCAAAGTTGATGTATGTGTGTGTGTGTATGCGTTGTGTATATCGGACGTATTTGCACGTCACTGTGTCCCTATTCGCCTGTGTGTATCAGTGTGTGTGCCGTAAGTCTGTAGCGTGTATGTGGCGTGTATGAGTGAGTTTTGTGTGTTGTGCACATGCATGCAAGGCGCACGCGAACATATGCGTGCACATCCATGTACATGTATGTATGTGCGTATATGTGTGTATGTGAATGCATATAGGCGTTCAGGTGGCAGAGAGGGTGGCGCTATCATCGACTGTCTACAACCGGTTATCGACCTCTTTCCATTTGTTTATTCGGCCTTCTCTTCCTCTCTCTCTGCATGTCTCTCTCCGTCCGTTTGTCTGTCAGTGTATGTCTCCGCCCGTCTGTCTACTGTTCAGCCAGTTGGTTGGTTGATTGGTTGTCGGTTGGCTGGCAGAATGTACGGGAGACGTAGTAAGCCCGTTTGGATC